CATCCCAGGGTGCTCCAAGCCCTGTACAGCCTGACCTTGGACGCTTCCAAGGATGGGGCAGCCACAGATTCTCTGGGAAAGCTGCTCCCAAGATCTTACAGGATGGTGTCAAGGAATCCCTGGGGCCACTCAGGCGCTGTCCCACCTCACCACAGACACCTAGACCTGGATGTGTGGGGTTGTTTTCAAGTACCTTCTCTTCTCTTTTTCCCTTCCCTTCTTACCTGCTCAGCTGAGCAGAGCCTGGCTGGTGGCTCCCTGACCACACTTTGGGATTTTGGTCCCTGATTGCAGTGCCAGAGGGAGCTGCAGAGGGAGCTGAGGCTGGACAGTCACTTCTTTGTTCCTGCTCTCGCCAGGAGTATGGGCTGGAGTGACTCAATGAGATGATCTCTGTTTGTTCTCAGTGTGTGGGAAGAATGGAGCCCATTGGGCTGGAGAATGAGACAGATTATCCGGGTGAGAGGGTTCTGCTTCCCCTTTCTTGTTTTCCAGGACAAAAATCACTGCGTGCCCTCTGCTGCTCTCCTTGAATTCCTGTGAGGGATCGGAGAGGAGTGCAGGGGCCCAATTGAGGCAGGGAAAAAGCAGGGACCAAGCCTTCCATGGGCAATGTGGGGCTGAGAGAGGGAGAGGATGGGCAGAATCGTGGAATAATTTGGGTTGGAGTGACATTAAAGCCCATCCAGTGCCACCCCTGCCATGGGACACCTCCACTGTCCCAGGGTGCTCTGAGCCCCATCCAGCCAGGCCAGGTTCACCTCATGGAGGCCGAGTGTTGGATCCACTCAGGTGAGGCCTCACCTGCAGAGCTGCCCGAGCCCTGGGCCCAGCACAGGGAGCACCCAGAGCTGCTGGAGAGAGCCCAGAGGAGGCTCCAGGATGACCAGAGCCATGGAGCAGCTCTGCTGGGAGGAAAGGATGGGAGAGTTGGGATTGTTCATCCTGGAGAGGAGAAGCTTTGGGGTGGCCTCATTGTGGCCTTCCCAATTAACTGTGGGGCCTACAGGAAGAGGAGAGACTATTGACAAGGCCCTGGAGGGCAGGAGAAGGGGAAATTACTTCAACCTGACAGAATGTAGGTTTAGATAGGATATTTAGAAGAAATTTCTCCCTTTGAGGGTGGGAAGGAGATGGAATGGAATTCCCAGAGGAGCTGTGGCTGCTCCTGGATCCCTGGAAGTGCCCAAGGCCAGATTGTAGCAGCCTGGGACAGGGGGAGGGGTCCCTGCCCATAGAAGTGGCTTTGGAGCAGGATGATGTTTAAAGTCCCTTGCAATCCAGGCCATTCCATGATTCCGGGTCTACCCCACACCCCTCAGAACTCTGAGAACGGAGCCCCCGTGCATGGCCAGCAGAGCCCTGGTGGATTGCAGCCAGCAGAGAATTGTGCTCAACCCCACGTAGGAGCAGGCAGAATTCCCTGACTCTCAGGAAAAGGGAGCCAGCCCTCACGTAGGACCAGGATAAACAATACCAGAAGCAACACCTGCAACAGAAAAAAAAAAAAAAAGAATAAAAACAGAAAGGCTCCTAAATTCACAATGATCTGCTTTGTCACTCGTGCCATGGAGAACATTAAACAGCTTGGACATGTGCACACAATTACACAACAGGGGCTACGGCCAGAAATGGGGCTGCAGGTGTGTTCTGAGGAGAATTAACCATCAAAAAAATCACTTTAATCAAGTTAAGAACTTACAAGAAGTTCATGGCTCTTGAGAAATCCATGGCAAGGTACCATGCCTTCAATTAACTCCCTGCAGCCTGCAGAGGTTGGAGCTGCACAGCCTCCATCAGTCTGGGGCAGGATAATGAAGCAGAACACAGCTAACGAAGGGGGAAGATGAAGTAACTGATTTTTTACCCTACATTTCAAAGAAAAGGGAAGGAAGGAAGCCACACATTTGTAACACCAAATAAGTCTATGATCTTCTCAGGGCAAAAAGTGCTGCAGAGATGTAAAATATTTGTGATGAGGTTTCATTAGTCAGGCTCAGATGACAGACCGTGACCTGTTTAAATACACAGCAAAAATAACTCAGCTGGTGCTTACTGAGGTAGTTTCAATCATCATTTCAGTGAGAAAATATTATATTTGCTTTACATTAAAGCCTGGTAGTACAAACAGAGCCAGTGTTGCACGTAAGCTGAGGAGCAGGTAATGAACAGCTGGAAACTTTTCCAAACACTCAGCTCTAAAGCAACCATTGGATCATTTCCTTCAACAAAACCCCAGAAAATAAAATATTGAGGGCCAGTAGTTGAGGAAAAGGAGGATTATTCACTTTGGGAATGTATGAAACAACATAGGTAAGCACAAGGAAAAGCTTTATGTAAAGAAGAGGTTTTAAAGAGGAACAGAGCTCATCCAAGAGTGGATCCAAGGTCCTGGAAGGCCATAGAAAGTGTTCTGTTGATTCCAGTGGGTTTTGGATCACTCTGGAAGTGGAGAGGAAGAGACGGAGCTCCAGGGAGAGGTTGTGGGGACACTGGAATGCAGCTGGGAATAGATGGAGGAAACCAAGGGGAGCTCAGGGCTGGAACACAGAGGTGAAGCTCTGCACTTTTGTTTGCATTCCTGAGAAAAAGAACATGTAGGAGGGCTTGGGATGGAGCCTGGGAGAAGGGAATGGAGGCAGGAGGAAGGCAGGTGACAGAGCAGTGATGCAATGGAGCTGTGGCTGGCTGTGCAATCCCACATCCCTTTCCTTGCTCCCAGAGGAACAGGATGTGGTGCTGGGGCAGAGCTGCTCGGCTGGACTGGGGTGGATGGGGGCAGCAGAACCAGGAACAGAACCAGGCACAATCCTGGCCCTCAGCTGCTCAGCTCTGTCTCAGGGGTTCAGGGGTGGCTGAATGTGGGTCTACTGGAGGAGACTTTGTTTGCTCCTGAAAATCCCTTTTTGGTGATTCAGTGCCTTTCCAAACCTGGTTCAGCGTGAGCTTTAGGACAAGGCAGAAGCAGAGAAGTGATTCACACCTGGATTTGTCCTGAACTTTGCCAAGTTTTTCCCATAAAACTCTCCTTTAACTTTCAATCCAGGCAGGACTTGTGCAGATCTTTGATGTAGGGGTGAAAATCACCCTTTGCTGCTTCTTTCTTTTAATTGCTCAGAGAGAACCTGGGTTAAAACCATCAATATTCATTTACTAAGAGCTGAGACAAACTTGCCATCCATTTTTACCCCATTATAAACATGAAATCTGCTCACTTGTACTTAGCCCAATCATTTAGCAGATTCAAAAAATCCCAAGCCAGCTGACACCTCAGGGCCACCTCTGTGAGCATCTCCAGGAGAAGAAGCCACGATCAGATTATTCCAGAATCACTGAAGCAAGGGCAGGAACATCAAAAACTTCTCCAGGCTAAAGGAAATTACATCCCATTCCCTTTCAAATCTCCCCAAGACCTTCATCACCTCACATTCCCTTCTTCCTGCCAGTTCTTTGTTGTGATGGAACTCTCCCTTCCATCCTGCTGCAAAGCACAGCTTATTAAGAGCGCTCACTCTGGAGATGAGGGGGTCACACATAATTTTCATGTGCGTCATGCAGAGAGAATGAGCTGAGATCAATGCTTGGCCAGCAGCCACTTGTTTTTAAAACCAGTTGTTCACAGTTATTTCTCTTAATTATTTATATTTTTTGTGAGGCAAGGATGCAGTCCAAGAATGCCCAGCTTATTTTTATTCATAGAACATTTGAAACACTGAATTGTCCACCTTTCATCTCCACAGAATTTAAAAAGCACCAACCTAAATTTAATGGCACAGCTCCTGTCTGATTTTGAGCAACTCAGATGAGCACCTGGGCAGGGAGACATCCAAATCCTTCACAAATTCTTTCCCTGGAGGCCTCTTTCCTAACCTGGGATGGCAACAGGAGTTGAAATATTTGACTGAAATGTCCCAGACAAGCAGCTGCCAAAAATTGTTATCAATTAGCACCATTCTACACTTAATAAAAGCCCAAACCCATCTGTTTGTAGCTCCCAATCAGTCCCAGAGTGTCTGGAGATCCAGCAAAAATCTAAGGGGAAAGTTTGGTTTAAAAATGTTCAAAAAATCAGAACTTTTCAACAGAGAAAAAGTCATTTACTAATGCTTATATGAGAAGGGTAATGGCAGTAAAATTCCCCTGGAGATTTATATAGATATATTTACTCATTTATAAATTAACATAAATTATGAATATATAAATTATTGTGTCATGTGTGTTGTTGACACTGCCATATATGAATATAAATTTATATCCAGATGATCCATTCCAGTTCTCTGTACTCTGCAACTCCTATTTTAACCCAACAAAAGTTCACTTTCTCTAAAGCAGCTCTGAATTGACACTTGTGGCCTGAGCAATTTTATTACTCCCTTATTTCAGCTGAGTCAATGGGGTCCTCTTCTGGCAGAGATTTTTGGGATATTATTGGGCAAAGCTCAGCTGGATCATTCACTGCTCTGCCTCCTGTATTTAGTCACCTGAGCCCGAAGCAAACATTACTAACAGGGATGACAGGGCAGCAAAGGCTCTGCTCAGTGTTTATTCTGCCAGTGATTCACTGAGTAGATTCAGGGGTAAATACCCAGAATTAAAGCACAGCGTCACCCTTGTTGTCCTGTGTTACCCCAAACTTCCTGGGAGCTCTCCCATTCCTTGACATTCCACTGGCTTTTATCAGCCAGACCATGAATAAATGGAATTAGGACCAGCCCAACCATTCTATAATTCAGTGACAGCTCCAAACTCCATATTTTTATTGCTTTATTGATTTATTGATGTAATTAAATTTTTTTTCCCTGTTTTTAGGGAAGCAAATCCACAGCAGCGATCGATCCCTATCCCGATGTTCGGGGCACGAAGCAAGCAGCAGGAACTCCCCTCGCTGTAACACTCTGTGACTTGGGTGTTGTGCAACACCTTGAGCAAACACTTCCTCCTGCAGGAGCAGGAATAAAGCTGAACCCGTCCCTGCCTCTCACTCAGAGACCAGAGTAGCTCCCGGCCAGGGAACGCCACATTCCCACCCCCACCGAGAGCATGAAAATCCTCCTCATTCCTGCTCTTCTGCTGCATTTCCTCCAACAAGGTACTGCACTTTTTCTTTTAGTCCTTCACCAGGTTTGCTATGCACCATGCTGTATGAATTTTTAATTATTAACTGATAGATAACAGGAAGGAGCAGCGAGTTGAAGCCATTGGGAAATGGAGTTAGGGATATTTGGGATTTTCCGTTCAAAGCAATTCTGTGTAATTCTTTAGTTAGAACAGCATTTACTTGTTTGAAAAGTGCCTGTAAATTGCCTAAAGACCCACAACTGGCTGCTTTTGTGAGCCACTAAAGCAATGCTTACCCTGCAAGTGAGAGCCCAATTTACCCAATCACACCAATTTATCAGCATTCTGGCCATAAAATAACAGATTTCTGTATGAATTACCTTTTATTGTATTTACAATTACATTATCTGAGTTAAATCATTGAACACCCTTTATTCATCTGCATGATATTTCAGATTCTATTCAAGTGACTCCACCTGAGCAGAGCCCACTTTTTTTCCCCACAATTTCTTTCAATTCCTGTCAATTTTTCAGAGCTTGGCCTGCACAAAATGCACAGGATTTAGATCCATAATTAACTATATAATTAGCATTCAGGCACAAATCTATGATTTGGTTTTTTTGCACAGAATACCTGAAAATGTGCACACCATTAAGGTGTTACCTTTTTTACCTTGACAAAACCACAACTTCTTTGTCAATAAAATCTTCCCTAATGATTTTTTTTTGCTGGTTGAGGCCCTTGGAAAAACACACAATTGTTTGTTCTTTATTACAAGTTGTTGTACGAAGCCCAAGGAATTTCTTTCCTCCTTCAACCTCCAGACAAAGCCTGAAGGTAGCAAGGACAATGCACTGATTAAAGAACTCCCTCGAAGAAAGGATTAATTCCAAATAAAACCAACCAGTTTTCCTCGAAATTCTGTCTGGATCAGACTGCAGGGAAGGGATGAGTTGCCCTTTAAACCTTGCCTTAACTTGAACTCTCTGGGCCGGAGTTGCACAAAGGGTGTGGAGAGATAAAATTGGGGATCTCTGTTCCAGGAGGCCTGAAATATTCCTGGGATTGTTACACAAGGCCACACTTGAGACAGGTGGAGAGAAATCTGGAAAGCAGCAGATTTTTTGGAAAATAAATATAATTAGCTCCTTAAAAACCCCATAAACCACCATTGTGAGTGGCAGTAGTAAAGTAACGCTCGGTAGCTGCTCCCAGCACGTGTTTGGTGTAACAGCTCAGCTGACACAGGATCCCTGTGCACCATTAAATCAACATCTTTATCAAGATACAACCAGGTTTGCTCTGCAATTACTTTTGGAAAGGGTTGAATCAAATAAATCAGTGATAAAAGAATGGACCTGTTTGTTTTACTGCAACAATTAGCATGAGGATGTGCTCTCCTGATCCAGAGAGAAAATTACAGTAATTGGAGGCCTCTCTCCTGGAAAAACCTGGCCCTGGGGCAGGAATTACCATGAGAGATGCTCTGTTCCTTTGTTTTTGTGGGGTTTCATTGGCTTTCTGGGCAGCTTAGGGGGTTTTTGTTGTTGTTGTTGGTTTATTTTTTAAATACAGGCCCTCAAGAATTCACCAATTCAGACGAAATTCCCTTTTGGAGTAGATTAAAGAGTTCAGGGGTATCTAAACCCTGCTGTTGCCTTGCTGGAAACCAAGACATCCCTTGTCCCACCCTGATTTCCCAAAACCTGGCCCCCAGCTGCCAGGATGAAGTCCAGGGTGTGCCCACCCCTGCAGGGCAGGCCCCAAATTAACTTTGCATTTGCTGAGCTTCAGAGCAGAAAACAAAAATAAATTATTTTTATCAGCCTTGCATTCCTCACCCAGCTCTTTACAGCCACTGCAGTCCTTATGAGATCACTCAAAAGCATTCTGGGAGTTAAGGAACCTCCTGAATTCCTTGTTACCTTCAAGATTTTCCTAATTTCCTGCCTATCTCCCATTATTTTACCTGGGCATGTCCAAATCCCCCCATCCTTCTGCTGTCCCTACTTCAACCTAATTCAAGAGGTAAAATTGTAATTATTAATTACCAACCTCTCTTAAAGTTCTGCCAGAATTATTTACGTGCCAAAGCCTTCCCAAGCAGGACTCTTGTTGCAGACCTCGCATTGTGTAAGTTTATTTGCTGCTGCAGAGGCAGTCTGGGCCTGTTTCTCACGTGATCAGGTTTGGAGATTCTGCAACCCCAAATCCATTAATTCATGTCACTGGAAAGTGCAGAAGGAAAGGCTGAGCTGGCATGGCTAGGCTGGCCTGTTGGGACTTGAACTGCTCAGAGCTGGGGGAAGAAACACAAAGGGAATTGCAGGAAATGTTTGGACACCTGGAAGCAGCCAGGGAGGGCAACTCCTCCAAAATCCAGGATGTGATTACCTCTGGTGTTGGGTCACGCCATGGAGGCAAAGCAGGGGAGCACCAGGTGCTGCAAGAACCCAAAAGAATCACCTGGCCAGGCATGAAAATGGGTGTTTAATAAATTAAAATAGTGTTTTCATCAATCCCCATCTGTTTCTCCCCAGGGAGCAGCAGAGGGAAGTTCCCTGGAGCCGAGCAGTATGAAATCGTTTATCCACAGAAACTGCACGCAGTGCACAGGAGAGGTGTAGGAACAAGTTCAGAGGTAGGAAAGGAGATCATTTCTTGGGTGATTCTGGGAGATGGGGAAGGATTTCTGGAGCTAAAACACCCTTGGGTTTCAAGGGTAAGAGAATTTGGGCAAACATTTGCTCTTCCAGAAGAAAAAACATGGAGAAGCAATCCGGTGTTTGGTGAAGAGGAGCTGAGGTGTGCCCAGTGTGCAGGGAACCCCTCAGGCTATCTGTGGCTCTTCTGAACTTGTGTCTCTACAAAGATGTGGGGTTTGATACTACTCAGAGTTTTAATAACCTGTGGGCACTTTAATTTGGAATAAATCAAACCAATAATTAAAAGCAGCCATGCTCTGTGCAATTCCAGAGGGTGTTACAGAAGTGTCTGAACCCAAACATCCCCTCAGCCCTTTCCCAAGCACACAGGATTTGTGCTTGTGGAGGCAGAAATGAATTTGCAAATCCAAATTTGCTCCTCTAATTAAAATCCCTTGAACAGAGTGACCTCCTGATTATCTTGCTCCTGCCAAAATCTCTGTTTTTGGTGAGGAGGAAAAGTACGTGGCTGGCATCCCAATAACACCACTGGTGAGGCCAGGAGCTGCAGCAGAGCGTTTTCTGACACTTAAATCTGTTTACAGAGCAAATACGATGAGACAGTGAAGTACAGGATCAAAGCCAATGGAGAGGAAGTGGTGCTGGAGCTCCGAAAAAATCGGTAGGTTCAGTTCAGCTCTTCCCTTATTCCTCACTGGGAGCCACTGCAGGGTGTTCAGGATGCCAAAAACCAGGAATCAGAACCCTGTAAAACAGAAGTGTTTTGGTAAATGCCACATTTCGATAGCAAGGAAAGAAAAGGGGAGTGAAAGAATCCTGTCACTGTTTTGGGAATGTGGAATAAGTGCTTGGGATGAGACATTGCCTCCTGCTACATCTGCTCCTCCATGTCTGCTCTAAATTGTTAAATCTAGTTAATTATCTATGTTAATCCATATTTAATAGTTTTCTGTTTTTTCACAAGTTTTCTGTGATCATGAAGAGTCTGTGAGTTACAGAATTGTAGCCTGGAGTGCCAGGACAAGGGGCATGGTTTTAAACTGAGCGAGAGAGGGTTTAAATTAGAGATTAGGAAGAAATTCCTCCCTGTGAGGGTGGGAAGGGGCTGGGATGGAATTCTCAGAGGAGATGTGGCTGTCCCTGGATCCCTGGAAGTGCCCAAGGCCAAGCTGGAGCAACCTGGGATAGTGGAAGGTGTCCCTGCCCATGGAACTGGAAGAGCTTTCAGGTCCCTTCCCACCCAGATTCTTGGGTGACTCAATGATCTTGGAGGTGTTTTCCAACCTTAATCATTCTGTGGTTCTATATTTATATATCCCTATATTTTAGACAGATATAGAGATAGATAAATGATAGATAAATAGATAAACTGATACAGATATTTACTTTAGCACTACTTCTCTTGAACCTGGAGTAACCAAATATAACCTGGCATTGACAAAATCTTCCTGGAAATCGAAAGTCTGGCTGCAGCAGAACATTAACACACGCTCCAGCAAGTCTGGGTTAATGGTTCTTTTCCAGATGCTGTGCAAATACAGTAGTGCCATAATCAATTCATGTTAAATATAGACTGTAATTAACTGCTCGCCCCTGTTTTAATCTAATCCAAATGTTTGGAGTGGGGGGAGGGAAATGGTGTTGTTCTAAATCCTATTCTTTGAAGAAAAATGGGATCGTGGCAGTGGAAGAGAGTTGCCCAAACAGGGGTCACTGCAGATGTGCTGCTTTAAGGAAGATGTAAAAAGGACCAAAAAAAAAAAAATATCAGTATGTAATTCTACATTTGCATCCAGATCTGCCAGGAGATGAGTTCATCCCAATGAAATCAGCAGACTTTAATTGCTTTCTTCTTTTAGGAAAGTCTTTTTGTTTGAGTAAGGATCATGAACTAGCAGAATTCACCTCCCTGCAGCTTTTGCTTGCCGAGTTTCTCCGATACTAAAAATAACCTTAGTAATTGTTTGAATTCCCCACATACTCAGTGTGCTGTGTCATCATCTCATCTCTACAAGGCAACAACTTCCTTGGAATAATGACTGTGCTTGGCTTCTTGCAGGGATCTCCTGGCTGGGGATTATTCTGAAACTCTTTATTCTGCTGACGGCCAACAAATAACAACAACTTCTCACATCAAGGTAATACGGGAAGGGCTTGTCCTTTTCCTTCCAGTCTTGAGGCCCACATGAGATTCATGGATCTGTGAAATAATGGGAGATATGAGATGAAAAGAAAGGTTTGAAATCCAGGTTTGAAGCCATTTGGGGTGGCTCTGAAGGGACGGGGAGGTTGGGATTGGTCCCTTGTGCCTGTTGGGAATCAGCTCCATGGTTTGGCTTCCAGGAAGGCACTATCTCAGTGTCTGCTGAACAATTTCTGGGTTGCATTCCAGCCTTTTGTTGGGAGCCAGGGCCATCCCAAAGCTTTCAACTGCTCGACTTTGCCGTGTAGACTTTGCTCCTGCTGCCCAGCCCCATGACTGGATTTCAGCCCTGCTCCCAGGGAGATCCCAAACCTGATAAAGTCCCATTTCCTCCCGGATCACATTTCCAGCCACGCTCTGTGCAGCTTAGCCCAGCTGTCTCCTCTGAGCCCTGGCAAATCAGTCCTGTGCCTGCAAACAGATGGGACTCGCTGCAGAAGGGATTTGTAAATTCATTGTGCACTCATCTTCCCCAAAGCACTCACCTGGAGCTCTCCTCCAAGCTCATGAGATGTGTTTTAACAACACAATCTGGAATTCAAAGCCAAATTTTCTTTGTTAGGAGCAATTTTCGTTGTTAGGAACAATTAGGAGGAATCTGAACAAAATAAATATGCATAAATAATTCTGGGTTTGTTATTTTTGGGTGTTTTTTTGTTTTGTTTTGTTTTTTGGTTTTTTTTTTCTGATTGCTCTGATTATTTCCAGTCCCTGAATGAATCCTGTGAAAAACCTGGATAAAGACAAACCCAAACAGCCCTACCTGTGCTGAACAGGGAATTCCTACCCTGGGGATACTGGATTGTGATCGGGACTTTTTCCTCTTGTATCCCCAGAAGACGGAGATAAATCTTCCACTTTCCCCCAGTAACTTTCCCTTTGTGGATATCTTTTTCCCTGTAACAAAGTTGGCATTTCATGGTGGAAGACAAAGAAATGATAAAGTTAAACCAAAATCCCCAAGAAAACAAAAGGCACAGGGAATGAAGGTTTGGATACAGATTCTTAAGAATTCCTTTCAGGAAAACTCTGTAGGTAAAATTTTCCACAACTCCTCAGTGACTTTGAAGTCTTTTTGAACACAGAAACAGAAACCTTAAATCCTCAAGCCAATTAAGTCCCAAAACCATTTCCCCTACCCATTTTTAATATAATACCTGTATTTTAAACTCACTAAAATTAATGCATTTGATTGTTGGGTAATTAAAGAGCCTTTCCTTGAAATTTGGGCTCAAGGAAACTATTTGGTGTGGACTTTGATTGAACAGAGCCCAGCATTGTGGCTTAATTTGGAGCAGGAAGTGGGAATATTCTTATTTTTCTGTGGTGTGCATTGACCAGAGCCTTTTGTCACAATTTGTGTGATGAAGGATAAAATTAATGGATCCACAGCAAACATGGAAGTGGCCATGAACTTTTAAAATTCCTTTTAAGCATCTCCTAATGGGAGAGGTCCTCAAGTAGTGCAGTTTATTGTAATTTGTAGAGAGTTTAATTTGTTTTCTGAAATCCCTGGATCCAGTGGAGTTGATGGAGACCCCAGCCTGACACTGGATCTTTTTTCCCCCCAGGATCACTGTTACTATGGAGGCCACGTGGAGGGTGATGCTAGTTCTGTGGCGAGCATCAGCACCTGCACAGGGCTGAGGTGAGACGGGATCGGTTCCCAGTGTGCAGTTCCAGGATAAATGTTCCAATAGGAAAGAATCAGGATGAAAAGAGGTCATGTGATATTTTATTCAGGCTTTGGAAACTTGTTTCTCAAAGGAAAACAGAGGGAGAAAGGAGAAAATAGTTACTCTTAGTTCCTTACAATATTTCAGCTTTTCACCTCAAATCAGAATGAAAATGTCTTTGAATTTCCCACTGGAATAAAATCCACTTTTCAACCACTTCTGTCAGCACAAACCCCCCAAAATTTAAATCAAATTAATTCCTAACCTGCTTCTCTTTGACTAAGAGCTCCCAAATCTTCCAATTGCCTCACTAATTAATTAATTTCTGCTTCTAAAGTGTTGCATGCTGCCTCAGGCTGCTGGAATATTCCAAGGGTCTGTATGCTTGGGATAAATGCTCCCTTGATCCAAAACCTCACATTCCAACCCATTTTTTAGTGGCTATTTTGAAACCCATGGCCAGAAGTTCCTCATCGAGCCCCTGGGAGCCTCAGACAGGGCCAAACATGTGGTTTATAAATACGAGGCCCTGAAACAAGAGCCCATCAAAACCTGTGGGCTGGTCAACAACTCCTGGGAGCAGGACTCCAGTGACCCCATCAACGACCTCTTCAAATCCAGCAACAGCCCAGAGGTAAGGGTGGCTGTCCCAGCAAAAAAAGGGAATTTGTGGCCATTGGAAAATTCTAAATAGTGCAAATCCACTTGGTCTGGTGGTACCTTCACAAAGGAGCTGTTTAAACACAGGGAAGTGGCGTCAGATCTTAAAAACCCTAACAAAATCTTCCAGAGCTGAGATTTCAGAGTTACCAGCTGCCTTTATTAACAGGTGCCCAGTGCACCTTTAACACCTAAATACCCATTAATATCTATTTTACCTTCCATAACTTAATAAAAATTTAAATATCCAGTCTACTTTTTATCACTTAAACCCAAACCAGTTCCTTCTGAATGACCTGGCCAAAGAAATCCCCTCAATAATTAATAAACAGCTTTGAAACTGCAGAGGTTGGGACCGGAAAAGCTCTTAAAAGTAATTTTATATAAATGATTCCTTTAGATGAAAGCCTACCTGAAAGCAAGGAAGTACCTGGAGCTCTACGTTGTTGCAGACAATGCTTTGGTGAGTTTTGGAATTATTTTTTTGTGTTTGATCAGCTCCACAGGAGCTTCCCAGGGTATCCCAACTCATATTCCCGGGCTCCTACAAGAGCTTCAAGGTTACTCTGAACCTGGCTGGGAAACGGGATTTCTAAAGGGGATTTAATTTGAAATTCCCACCTGGAGATGACAAGAATTCAGAAAAGACATTGCAGTGCTTGTCCTGTTGGAATATCCTGAATTGAAAGGGAATCTCCTGATTTGGAAGGGAATATCCTGATTTGGAAGGGATAATCCCGAGCTGGAAGGGATCCACCAGAATCATTGAGTCCAACTCCTTCTCTGCACCCTACACAGAAATTCACATTTTGGAAGGGGCTGATACTGAAATCCAACATCTGATGAAATCCTACATCAAACATATTTTTCTGTATACAGCATGATTTTTTATACATGGAGTGGTTTACAAGCCAATACTCTGCGGGATATTTAATTCCTGATAAATTCCCTTTTCCCTCTCCTTTTCCTGACATGCTGCATTTGCCTTTTCAGTACAAGAAATACGATGAAGATGTTAAAAATATAAGAAAAAGGATATTTGGAATAGTCAACTACATCAACACGGTGAGAGCGAACAAGTGGCAGTGAAATCCAAGTGTTTTGTAAATTTTTCTATTGAAAATTATTGAAATCCAAATTATTTATTTTTTTTTTCTATTGGAAACCATGGAAATCCTAGTGATTTCTAATTTTTTCTATTTAAAGTCATTGAAATTCAAGTGATTTCTATATTTTTTTCAATTGAAAACCATTGAAATCCAAGTGATTTATAAATTCTTTCTATTGTAAAAATCATAAATTCTCATTATTACAAGTAGGAATGTATGAAAACTCAACTTCAGGGTAATTTATTTTCCTGTTCTTTGCCTTCAGATACCAGACTTCTAATAAGCATTATTTCTACTCCTACTTTAATTATTTATACTCATACTTTATTTATTTCTACCAATACTTTAAGATATTTTCTAATCACTTCTCAAGTCAATGATTATATCAAAAGGAATAAATTGATTCTTGATTTCTTTGGCAAGTCAAATTTCTTCCAAAATTGCTGGAATTTTCAAGTATTTTTAACCCCATTCTAAAGTTGCTTGAAATGTGGTAGGAAATCAGATTTCCTAGTTTATTTGATGAGACTTTTTTGGAATTCAGAGCTTGGAGAAGCTTTGTTAGGTCTGGAGCAGATAGTGGAGCAGAAAAGTGACCCAAGTAGCAGGAGAAGGCTTTGTTGAATTTTTATAAATTTTTAATTAATTCTCTGCTGAAGGTTTATAAAGCCATCAACACGCACGTGGCTCTGGTTGGCCTGGAGGTGTGGACAGATGGGGACAAGTGTCCCCTGAGCAGGGACGCGGGCTTCACCCTGGATACCTTCTCCAAGTGGCGCCTGGCAGAACTGCTGAAAAGGAAACGGAACGACAACGCTCAGCTTATCACGTGGGTCCCTTCCCTTCCCTTCCCTTCCCTTCC